CAGTCCACAGAATCAGGATGTCGATGTTATCAATGAATTCATGCTATCACAACTCGCAGGTTTTTGTTATATAATTTCTTATAACTCCTTTTAATACGTATTTATATTATAATATATGTTAATACTAAAATAGTTTGAAATGCTTTGATTAGGTGATGAATACGAATACTTTAGTGCCGATAACATTGATACTTCAGACACAAGCAAAATAGACGAAGTCGTCTATACACAGGAGTACCTTAATAGTATAAAGGTCTCGGGGCTGACAAATCATTCTCTCAAGTTAAAGATAGGAGCTCCAATAATGTTGCTTAGGAATATTGATCCTAAGGGTGGTTTGTGTAATGGTACAAGATTGCTTTTTACTAGCTAGGCATGTAATCGAGGCAAGCCATATCACCAGGAAGAAAATAGGTAAAAGGGTTATCTTACCTAGAATGTTTGTTTCACCACCGGAAGGCAGGTTTCCTTTTAGAATGCGTCGGAGGCAGTTTCACATTACCATAGCTTTTGCTATGACTATAAACAAAAGCCAGGGTCAGACTCTACAAAAAGTGGGATTATATTTACCAAAGCCAGTATTCTCTCACGGTCAACTTGATGTCGCCGTGTCTAGGATTACAACGCGTCAAGGGTTGAAGATTCTTATTACAAATAAGAACGAAAAAGCATAGAAGAAGACAATGAACATTGTTTACAAAGATGTGTTTGAGAACATGTTTAGAAACTCGCGTTTATTTTGAACAGGTTATTTTGTTTGCTACTAAGAGTTTGTTTTAGTTTATATTAGACATAAGTTATGAGATTTTGGCAGTTATTAGTTGATTGAGAAAATGGAGAAGACGATGGAAAGTTTGTTATGGGAAAAGATATTTTCTCATTAGATTGTTGAATCTGATCTGGTTACACTTATATACAATTGCTAAATTTTGAACCGATCTAAACCAAACTAATTACAATTAATTTACAATGTCGAACCAGCTAAAGGAAACCGGAACAACAGAATAAACCAATCCACTCCAATAAGCCCCCTCAAGATGTAGTTTCGAAAATGTTGAGAATGCTCATCTTGGATTTTAGATAGTCAAATTGATGAGGGAAGAGTGGTTTGGTGAGAATATCAGCTACCTGATCTTCAGTACGCAAATGTAGAGTCTTAAGAAGCCCTCTGTCCAGTCTTTCACGAACCGCATGGCAATCTTTCTTGATGTATTTAGTTCTCTCGTGAAAGACCGGTTGGTAGCAATGTTTATGGCTGCAGTACTATCAGAAAATAACACCGATGTAGGTATCTGGATCCGCAAATCAACGAGCAATTTCTCTGGCCAAGTGATTTCCCAAGAAGCTAGAGACAGAGCACGGTATTCCGCTCCCGCAGATGAGTGTGATACCGTGTCCTGTTTCTTAGATTTTCAAGAGATTGTTGATATGTGAATATCGACAAGGGGTAAAACAGTACTTTAGATCGGTAAACTCGGTTTTATTAGATCGAATCGGGAGAATACAACTGAGTTCGGTTATCGAGTAAATAATAACGAACTAAGACTTTATGAAACTAAGAATCTAGCGTAATGAGTTCTCAGTCTCTAAGTCTTCTCTGGAATATCTTGTGTTCTCTGGTGTCGATTCATCTCCCTTTATATATATCCTCTGAGTCGGTCTTCAAGCACATCTTCGGCGATATGGGACCGAGAGGACTTTCCTTTTCTCTCGGTTCCTTTCCTTTTCTCGTGCTCATTTCCTTTTTCCATTAGGAAACTTTCCTATTTTCGACCGAACTCGGGGAACCTCTCTGTTCCTTCGAGAAGCTTCTCGCCGACCTCGGCCTAATGAGCTGCGTTTGGCCCAAGGTTTTACTAGGCCCAGTCTTCCCGGTACATTCTTTCGTAAACCGGGCTTATGTCACGCCGATCTCGGTTTGTACCGGAGAAAACCGGGGTGCGGTTTTCACCTCCAACAGTTAGCCCCCCCCCCTCAGTTCGATGAAAGGAAGTGGCTTTAGTCGAACTCATTTGATTCAAAGTAAGTCACAAACTAAGATCGGTAACTGCAATCGATTCGCATTCCCGGACGTTTCGCACCCTATCTTCAATGAGGCGCGTGAATTCCGGGATTTTCGCGAAAATCGAGGAACCCACGATTCCCACTATTTATAAGGGAAAAACTTCTTCTCTCATTCATTACTCTCGTTCAAGCATATATAAGGTACGCTGCTCTCCCTTCTCTCTAGATTTTTGTTTCTCTCTCTAGTTTTTATTCGTAGTTCTCTCTCATTTCTTCAACTTTCGCCGCCGCAAACCCTCGATTTTTCCGATCAATCTTCAAACTTCCCGATCAATCTTCAATCTTTTCCGGTTGATCTTCAAACTGTTCTTCATCCTTCTTAGATCTCCTTCGAATCTACTTTTCCGAGCTCAAAATGTCTTCCAGTTCTTCAATTAACTCTTCTTCTAACCAAATCCTTCCGGAGGATCGCCGCAAATCCTCGGAGCCGAGCTCTTCCTCCTCAAACCCTCATTTATCGAATTCGTCTCAGGGAGAAAGCAATCCCCCACAACTAGTTCGCAAGAACTCTAGGTCTGTTGACGCGAGCAGCAGCCGTACTAGACCTAGAGTCGAAGCTACCGAGCAGTTGGTGACAGAAACTCGCGAGACGGAAGCTCGTGCTGGACCGAACGCTGGTGGTATCGACCACGAGATCGAGGAGGTCGAAGAACCTGAAGAGGATAATCAGGAAGAGAACGCCACCGAAGCAGAAGTTGTCGAAGACAACCTCGAAGTGGTGCACCACGCTTCACCACCGCTCCCAAGACGGAGGATCGTTCGCCCCAACAACGTGCCATCTTCTTCCGTGAGCCCGGGTGCTGTTCAGGCCGTGCTCGAAGAAAATGGGCTCTCAGACCAAATTGCTTTTATAATTCCCAAAGCTGGAGATCGGTCGTGGGACGTGCCCGAAGGCTTCCTCTGCGTCTACTTGACCTATTTCACGCAGTGCGGGCTCTCACTTCCTATCCCCTCTCGTCTCCTCGGATACTGCAATCGGCGTGGTGTAGCTCTCACTCAGGTGATGCCAGCCTCGGTAACGAACTACGTAGGGTTCGTTACCTTATGTGATGAGCTCGGTGAGATCCCCTCCAGTCGATTGTTTGAGGACTTCTTCTCGGTGAACATCCACAAATCCAAGGAGTGGTTCTTCGCTGCAAACGCTAAGCCGAAGAAGAACATAGTTACTGGGCCTAAACCCAGTAAATTCAACGACTGGGAATCTTTATATTTCTATCTCGAGATGAACGATCTCACCGTCAGCAACTCTGACATCCCAACTCAATCGGAGTGGAAGATTCCGATCGGTAAATTAGATGATCTCATACTTAGTTAAATTCTGACTACATTGCTCGCTAACTTTATTTCGTTCCGTCTTTGCAGGTCGTCATCTCCCAAGTCTTATTCTCAACTCTGGTCTTACATCCGAGTTCGAAGCTGCTTTTAGTGAGGCCGGCAAGCGTCGTTGGCCCGAAGTTTGGGAAGAAATCCTTCAACGTCGTTCTAAGAAAGCAGGTTCGTCTGTTGAGTTTTTTTTCTTATTCCTTATCTTGAATTTATTCCGAACTCCCTCTTAATATTTTTCCCTTGTAGGTTCCGTCCGAGAGCCAAAGCCACGGAAGCCAAAAGCTAGAGCTAACAAGCCCCGAGCTGCTCCAAGACGAAAGGCGCCTAAGTCGCAAGCCAAACGCACACGAACTGCCAGGATGCTTTCGCTGGTGAGATCCCAACTTTGTTTGACGAAGAGGAGCCGAACGTCACCGATCCGACCCCCATCCCTGCTATTGAAGGGACCAATGAGCAGCCGGAAGAGCTGCCGCCTGCTGCGAACTCACCTGACCAAGCCGGTCAGAAGAAGCTGAAGAAGAAGAAGTCTTCAAAGAAGATTAAGAAGATTGAAGACTCTTCTCGGGCGCAGGACGCTCCCGCTGAGCTCGAGGCGCCAACGGCTGTGGCGTCAGACCTCGCTCTTTCTCAAGATCGAGCTGAGGCTTCTCATTCTCGAAAGAGACAAGCCGGAGACCGCGCCGAAGGTTCTCCAGAGCAAGAGCCAGCGAAGAGGGCTAAAGTCTGTTTTGACTATGATGAGGAGACTCCTTTTGAGGAGAACATTGATGCCTGCGCCGAGCTCTACCATAAGATCTCTTCTCAGGTTCCGAGTCTGCCGGCAGTTACCGAGCTCCGCTTCCCCGTACAACTGCTGTGGTAACTTTCTGATTCCACTTCTCATTTTATTATTTTCTTTAAGTATGAGTTCTAACTCATGCTTTATTTCATGTAGCTCGCCAGTCAGACCAACAACTTGGTCGCAGCGTATGAAGTCACGCTGTACGACGAACAGGTTAGGGTTGCCGAGCTACAGAAGAGGGGGACTAAACAGAATTTTCAGTCTTAGATCGGACTTCGGATAGATCGAATCAACATGACAGATCAGACCAACATTCACGAAGAAGGAAACCCTCTCGGTGGAGAGAACACTAACGCCCCAACAGACAGGGAGGAGGAACTCCTGGAGAAAACGCTGGAACTGTAGCCGGCCAAACCCCCGCAGCTGTAGGAGGTTATGGAACCGAATTGCTACTCCAAGTGTTCAACGCCCAGTTCGAGGCCATTAACAAAAGGAGCGAGGAACGTTTCAGTCAGATGGCGGCACAAATCGCACGAACTCCCCTTCGAGTTCAGAACATCATTGACGATCTTAATACTGACGGATATCCAGCCGTAACTGTGAGGTCTACCGCAGTCGGATCGGCGAATGTACCAGCATCAGATTTGAGCCGAGACGCCGAGTTCGAAGCAATGAAGGCACAACTCCGCGAGATTACTTCGAAGATACATCAAGCAACAAGCGCGGCTCCGGAGATCGAACGCGTCATTCAGGAAACACAGAAATTGAAGATAAAGATCTATGAAGGCAATACCGACCCCAGCACTTTTTGACATCGTTCGACATCTGCATGAATCGCTACCAGTTCAAATCTGCCGAGGAGAGAGATGCAGTTCAGTGCCAACTATTTGTGGAAAGTCTGGGAGGAGTAGCTCTCGACTTGTTCTCACGACTCGAAGCCAATTCCATCGATAACTACAAGGAGTTAACGACGGCCTTCGTCAAGCACTTCTCCATGTTCATCGGACAAAACACCAAGAACTCCGAGCTCTGGCAAATAGCCCAAGGACCAAGCGAGAGCCTTCGCGATTTCATCCAGCGCTTCAAGACGATCGTAGCTAATTGTACGATCAGCGATGAAGCCGCTCTTTTATGCCTTCAGAAAGAAGCTCGGATAAAGACTAGCTTCCAAAGCGCGATCACGCATAACCCTCCGCAGACATTAGAGGATGCACTACACCGAGCTAATACTTACATCGCCGAAGAAGAAGAAGAGGCCGCTTATGAGCAAAGTTACTCGACCAAACAACCCGAACGTTCAAAAGCAACGACTAACGAGCCACAGTCAGGATACGGCCGAGGGTATGAGAATCGTAAAAAGTTCTACGCTAACGCTATCGAACAACCGACCAAACAGTGGAACAATAAGTGGGTCCGCGGTGAAGAAGATCAGGACGAGTCTTTGTTCTGCGAATTCCATAACCGTAGAGGACATAGCACCGAAGAATGCAGACACTTGCGAGAATATCTACTCGGCCAATACCGAAAGGGGCCGATCTCAGTTGATGATCTCCGCCGCTTAAACGCGCCAGGAACAGTGGACAGACCTCGATCGACGATCTCCGTCGTTCAAACATGCCTTGACTGAATAATGCACAGCTCGAGAACGCCCTCACTAAGGATCCACCAACCCCACCAGCTTTACCGACGCTACCAACTTTACCGGCGTTACCACCACCGCCACCGAATCCGCCTGCTTTGCCCGAACAACAGAAACGCAATCGCGATGACCGAGCACAAGAGAACCATGCTCCCGAAGCAAGGAAACGCGTCAACATGATCATGGGAGCCATCGAGGCTTGCAGCTACTCGGTTCGAGCTATCAAGGAGTACAGTAGACAGGCCGCCAACGTGCCCAAAGTTCCGCACGATCCGCCGAAGGGAACGCTTTTGGTATTTACCGAGGCCGACACAATCGGGTTGCACAAACCGCATAACGACGCCCTCGTCGTTGAACTACTTCTCGACGACGTCGAAGTTAGCCGTATTCTGGTCGATACAGGCAGTTCGGTCAACATTATCTTCAAGGAAGCGCTTGATCAACTCGATTTATCATCAGATAGGATCGAGCCTTTTATCGAGCCACTTACAGGTTTCGGTGGAGAACGTTGCATGACGGTTGGCATGGTAAATATCCCAATCTACCTCGGTGGAGTCGCAAAGATGACCCAGTTCCTCATCCTCGACAAACCGGTGATCTACAACGCTATTCTCGGTAGGCCTTGGTTACACGCAATGAAGGCGGTCGCTTCGACGTACCATCAATGCCTGAAGTTCCCGACTCCCGACGGTGTCTACACTCCCCGAGGAAACCAAGCCGTCGCTCGATCATGCTACATAAACGAATGCAAACTTCATTCGGCCAACCAAGCTTGTGTCATCAGTTCGTTAGGACCGACGAACGAGCTCGTCGTCCAGCAGACAAAACCTAAGCAGGAGTCGATCGTTCAAGTTTGCATCGACGAGCTAAAGCCAGAGCGTCAAGTCGGAATCGGCGCCGAACTCGACCCACACATCCGCGAGCCACTCATTCACTTTCTGAAACAGCATTCGTCAACCTTCGCTTGGTCGGTAGAAGATATGCCTGGGATCGATCCACAGATCGCGTGTCATGAGCTCAACATCGATCCGACGTATAAGCCAATCAAGCAGAAACGCCGAAAGCTCGGACCAGAGAAGGCACAGGCCGTCAACGATGAGGTCGAGTGGTTGCTCAAAGCAGGATCCATCACCGAAGTCAAATATCCTGATTGGTTAGCAAACCCCGTAGTCGTCAAGAAGAAGAATGGTAAATGGAGGATCTGCGTCGACTTTACCGATCTCAATAAGGCATGTCCGAAAGATAGTTTTCCTTTGCCTCATATCGACCGCCTCGTGGAAGCAACTGCCGGGAACGAGCTACTCTCGTTTATGGACGCATTCTCTGGATACAATCAGATCCTTATGCATCCGCAAGATCGGGAAAAGACATCGTTCATCACGGACCGCGGCATATACTGCTATAAGGTCATGCCTTTTGGCCTGAAGAATGCTGGAGCAACATACCAACGACTGGTGAATCGGATGTTCGCAAGCCAGCTCGGGCGGACTATGGAAGTTTACATTGACGACATGCTCGTGAAATCGCTCGTCGCTTCCCATCACGTCGGTCAACTTCGCACATGCGTCGATATTTTGGATCAGTATGGCATGAAGCTTAATCCCATTAAGTGTACGTTCGGCGTAACATCTGGAGAGTTCCTCGGATACATAGTCACACGGCGAGGCATTGAAGCTAATCCAAAACAGATTGCAGCCATACTCGAGCTCCCGTCTCCGACAACCAAACGCGAAGTTCAGCGACTCACCGGACGTATTGCAGCACTGAATCGATTTATATCTAGATCGACAGACAAGTGCCTACCTTTCTACCAACTTCTTCGCGGTAACAAACATCTCGAGTGGAATGAGAAGTGCAAAGAAGCTTTTGCCGAACTAAAGAAATACTTGTCCAAACCTGAAACCGGCGAGACACTTTACCTCTACATCGCAATTTTGGAGTTCGCGGTCAGCAGCGTTCTGGTTCGAGAAGATCGTGGCGAGCAAAAGCCAATTTTCTACACAAGTAAATCCTTTGATGGGTCAGAATATCGTTACCCGACCTTGGAGAAATTCGCCTTTGCCGTGGTTATTTCCGCAAGGAAGTTACGCCCGTTCTTCCAGTCTCACTCGATCGTTGTCCTAACCGATTACCCTCTTCGCACTTTCCTTCACAGCCCAAGTCAATCCGGACGACTCGCCAAGTGGGCCATTGAACGTAGCGAGTACGACATCGAATACCGAGGAAGAACTGCAACGAAGTCTCAAGTCCTGGCGGATTTCTTGGTCGAGCTCCCACCTGAGCTCGTCGAAGCTAATCCGGTCATACACCCCTGGATTCTCCACGCCGATGGCTCCTCATCCCATAAAGGATCCGGCGTCGGGATTCGTCTCAAATCCCCCGAAGGAGAGGTTATCGAACAATGATTCCGTCTTGGCTTCCCGGCGTCCAACAATGAAGCCGAATACGAAGCATTGATTGCCGGACTACGACTTGCCAAAAATATTGGTGCCGAGCACGTACACGCTTACTGCGACTCTCAACTTGTGGCTAACCAATTTCACGGCGAATACGAGGCCAAGAATGATCGCATGGACGCGTACCTCAAAGCTCTTAAGGATGTTGCTTCGGAGTTCTCAACCTTCAAGCTTACAAAGATACCTCGTGATGAGAATGCGACCGCCGACGCCTTAGCCGCTCTCGCGACTAATTCTGATCCCGATCTTCGGCGAACTATCCCAATCGCGGCAATTGAACGACCAAGTATCGAGCCTGCCCCGAACTGCAACATCATTACACGACGACGTGATTACAAAGCCCAAGCCAATCTCGCTCCACCCCTCACCCGAAAGACGAAACCCAGAGAAGTCGTCACCGATCTCGACAACAACACGGACGAACAACCTGATGATAATTCCGATCTCGAAGACGAGTCCGAGGGCCAACATGTTCCAATCGATATCGAGGCCAAAGGTGAAGACGAGCCCGAAGATTGGACCTTAGAAATTGTGGGATACATTGGAGACGGAACGGTCCCCGCGGATAAATGGGCAGCTCGGCGCCTTAAGGCTCGTGCAGCTCGATACATGGTCATTAAGGGTACTCTTCTCAGATGGGATGCGTCCGGTGTACTCTTGACTTGCGTTCACGGCAACGACATCATGGAAGTAATGCAGAAAGTACATGAAGGAGAAGGAGGAAATCACTCCGGAGCTCGGTCTTTGGCGTTCAAGATCAAAAAAGCTGGCTATTACTGGCCTACTATGCTTTCTGACTGCGAAAAGTATACAGCACGCTGCGAGAAGTGCCAACATCATGGCCCGATGATCAATCTTCCTACCGAGCTCTTGATGACCTCGACCGCACCATATCCTTTCATGCGCTGGGCAATGGACATCATCGGTCCTTTTCGCCGGTCTACGACTCAGAAGCAGTACGTTTTGGTCGTCACGGACTACTTCACCAAATGGGTCGAAGCCGAGGCGTACCCCGAGATTCATGGAATCGATGTTAAGAAGGTCGTCTGGAAGTTCATCATCTGCTGACACGGAGTCCCGTACGAGATCGTTACGGACAATGGAACCCAGTTCACTTCGATAATTTTCACAGATTTTTGTGCCAAGTGGAAAATCCGACTAAGCTTTTCCACCCCGCGATACCCACAAGGGAACGGACAAGCCGAAGCCACGAACAAAACCATTATCGATGGCCTGAAGAAGCGACTCGATACCGCTAAGGGAACTTGGGCGGACGAACTCGATGGTGTCTTGTGGTCTCACCGAACTACACCACGATGTTCGACTGGTCAGTCACCATTCTTCCTTGCGTATGGTACAGAAGCTATGTGTCCAGCCGAACTCAACGTCCCAAGTATTCGCCGAACCATGCTCACCCAGCAACCCGACGCGAATAACGACATGATGCTCGACACAATCGACTTAGTCGAAGAACATCGCGAACGAGCATTACTCCGGATACAAAACTACCAACAACTGACAGCTCGTTACTATAACAAGAAGGTTAAAGGCCGTCACTTTGAAGATGGCGATCTCGTACTTCGCAAGGTCTATCAGAACACAGAAGAAAAGAACGCAGGGAAACTCAGCGCGAACTGGGAAGGCCCATACCAAGTGATGAAGGTTGTTAAGCCCGGCGTTTATCAACCCATGAAGTTAGACGGAACTCCGATCCCACGATCTTGGAACTCGATGCATCTCAAACGATACTACTATTAGTTCGTTACGAACCGATCAAAAAAAAAAAAAAAAAAACCTCCGAACTACTTAGTCGGAGCAAAAAATACTTTTGTACTTAGAACTACGAATGGCTTGATCCCTTTAAAGGGTACGTAGGCAGCTCGTTACCGAGTCCAGCTATAACATCAATAAAGTTTTATTAAGTCAAAAAACGTCTAAGTTCTAGTTCGGAAATCACAAGATACCGAACTCCTTGTTTTTACATCGACTTCCTGGCCAGTTGTTCGATAGCATTCCACATGAATGCAAACTTAAAAAGCCGAGATCCGTCTCGCAAGCACCCACATGGTGCCGTGGTAAAACCACATATCAAAAGCCGGGGCCAGTCCCGCAATTAAATTTCTAAGTCACCAAGAACAATAAGCCGAGCACATCTCGCATACTTAGGTTCGACTTGGAAAAACCTTGAACTCGTTTCGTGCGCTTACAGGAGTTCGATTTAATTCACTCTTCCAGTATGAAACGATTCACTTGGGTTCCCCTCAGATTCAAACGCTCGCACAATAAGCCAAACTCCTCAGATTCGCACTGTAAGCCGAGTTCACAACACTCGCAAAACGTAAGCCGAATTATCGCAATTCGCTATCAAAAGACGAAATTATGTTCAAAACATCATCTAATATGTACCGATTTAGTACTTAGGTATTATCCGATAAAATAAAGACAAAGTTCAAATTAGGTACCGATCTACTACTTAAAAGATTTTTTCTAAGTCATCAAGATAAGAAAGAAGAAGAACGAGCATATAATTAAAAGCCTCCCGAGAGGCAAATAAGTTCAAGAACCCACCAAGGGTTCGGAAATAAAAATATTACAAAGCAAAATAAACCCATGAAAGGGCAAGCGAGTTCAAGAAAGAGAAGAAATAGAAAGAGACTAAGCGGTCTTTGAGGTTGCAGCCTGATCGGCGTTCAGCATGTCCTCGTTCGATCCAAATTGCTCACCCCTCGCAGGATCTTGCTCGCTCTGGGTCACAGCCACGACCGGGATATCATCTTCTTCCGCGAACGGAGTCATCCGCTTATCCTCCTCGGTGAGAACGCAAGCATCGATTGAACAAAAGTCTTCCAACGCCTTAGCGTGCTTTGCCTCGATGTCGGCAACCATCTATGGCGGGACCTCGTACAAGGCTTTCTGCTTAATGAAGCCAAGAACTCCAGTAAGCTGGTTAACCACCAAGTAAGGCTTGCGGGCTCGATCTGCGTCGTCCAAGCTGCGGATCACCTTCTCCAAGCGTTCGCAAGCCTGTGCGTGAACGCTCCTAGCTCGACCCTTCCAGTGGGTCACCAAGGCCCGAAGCCGCTCCCGATCTTTCTCGAACTCCTGAGCAAGCATGTTTTGAGCCTCGGTCAGCTCTTTTCTCACCGCTTTCAGCTCGGCACTCTCTTGCTTCAGCAGTTCAACCGAAGAATGGAGAGTGTCGTTGATTTGGAGTTCGGTGGCTAGACGCTCTTCCGCTTTGGAGACCCTCTCCTGTAGCTCGGCAACCCAAACCTGTTCGTCGTACAGCGCGACTTCATACGCTGCGACCAAGTTGTTGGTCTGACTGGCGAGCTACATGAAATAAAGCATGAGTTAGAACTCATACTTAAAGAAAATAATAAAATGAGAAGTGGAATCAGAAAGTTACCACAGCAGTTGTACGTGCGATCCCTTTGTACATACTGGGGAAGCAGAGCTCGGTAACTGCCGGCAGACTCGGAACCTGAGAAGAGATCTTATGGTAGAGCTCGGCGCAGGCATCGATGTCTCCTCAAAAGCAGTCTCCTCATCATAGTCAAAACAGACTTTAGCCCTCTTCGCTGGCTCTGGCTCTGGAGAACCTTTGGTGCGGTCTCCGGCTTGTCTCTTTCGAGAATGAGAAGCCTCAGCTCGATCTTGAGAAAGAGCGAGGTCTGACGCCACAGCCGTTGGCGCCTCGAGCTCAGCGGGAGCGTCCTGCGCCCGAGAAGAGTCTTCAATCTTCTTAATCTTCTTTGAAGACTTCTTCTTCTTCAGCTTCTTCTGACCGGCTTGGTCAGGTGAGTTCGCAGCAGGCGGCAGCTCTTCCGGCTGCTCATTGGCCCCTTCCTGGCGCGCCAATTGTTGATATGTGAATATCGATAAGGGGTAAAACAGTACTTTAGATCGGTAAACTCGGTTTTATTAGATCGAATCGGGAGAATACAACTGAGTTCGGTTATCGAGTAAATAATAACGAACTAAGACTTTATGAAACTAAGAATCTAGCGTAATGAGTTCTCAGTCACTAAGTCTTCTCTGGAATATCTTGTGTTCTCTGCTGTCGATTCATCTCCGTTTATATATATCCTCTGAGTCGGTCTTCAAGCACATCTTTGGCGATATGGGACCGAGAGGACTTTCTTTTTCTCTCGGTTCCTTTCCTTTTCTCGTGCTCATTTCTTTTTTCCGTTAAGAAACTTTCCTATTTTCGACCGAACTCGGGGAACCTCTCTGTTCCTTCGAGAAGCTTCTCGCCGACCTCGGCCTAATGAGCTGCGTTCGGCCCAAGGTTTTACTAGGCCCAGTCTTCCCGGTACATTTCTTCATAAACCGGGCTTATGTCACGCCGATCTCGGTTTGTACCGGAGAAAACCGGGGTGCGGTTTTCACCTCCAACAGAGATCAAGGAGGATCCCAAAAACATATACAAACCAGTAGTTGATCGTCTGCTGTCTTGACAAGCAGCCCAATCAGAGTCTGCAAAACCATTGAGATTAAGATCAGAACCCGCAGAGTAGAACAGCCTTTGGCCAACTGTCCCTTTAATGTATTGCAGAACCCTGTAAACAGCTTTGAGGTGAGTAGTGCGGGGAGCAGACGAAAATTGGCACAGCTTATTTACAGCAAAGGTGATATCTGGCCTTGTTATGGTTAGATACATCAAACAGCCTACAAGACTTCGAAACATCTCTTTGTTAGGAAGTAAATCTCCATCTTCTTTAGAGATCTTGAGGTTTGGAACCATCAGTGTAGAAACAGGTTTGCAACCAAGCATTCCAACTGATGTAAGAATCTCCAATGCATATTTTCGTTGACATAAAGAGATTCTTGCAGAGTTGCGAGCTATTTCCAAACCCAAAAAATATTTCAGATTCCCCAAATCACGAAGCTTAAAACAACCTTTCAGTGCTTTAGTTAGGCGAGATGCAGAATCAGTATCAGTGCTTGCAATAACAATGTCATCAACGTATACTAGCACTGCAAGAAAGTTTCCATCATCACAGTCTTTAACAAACAAAGTGTGATCACCATCACCCTTAGTGAATTCCAATGTAAGCAAAGCCGATGAAAACTTCTTGTACCATTGCCTCGAAGCCTGTTTCAAGCCATAAATTGACTTCTTGAGGCATAAAACAGCATTACGAGGCAAAGAGGCCCCTTTCCTGTCAGCGTATCCATCTGGAAGTTTCATGAAAACCTCTTCTTCCAAGTCTCCATTGATAAAAGCATTAGAAACATCCAACTGAGTGAGATACCATTGCTTCAAAGCAGATACCTTCAATAAGAGTTTCACGGTAGTGAGTTTGGCAACTGGGGAAAATGTTTCAGTGTAGTCCAATCCCTCTTTCTGAATTAAATCATTTGCAACCAGCCGTGCTTTATACCTTTCCAGACTACCATCTGCATGAAACTTCACTGTGAAAACCCATTTACAACCCACTGGTTTCTTTCCTGGAGGCAGAGATGTAACTTCCCAAGTTTAAGTTGATTCCATAGCATCAAATTCCTTATCAACAGCGTCACACCACTCTTTGGATTCCTTTGCCTGAGTATACAAATGAGATATAGGTATTTTGGTGATAGGAGAGATAAGTAGGAGTTATCTTCTCATAAGATAAGGACGAAGATATGGGATATTCAGTGTTGGATTCAAGAGAATAACAATGGTAATCTTGGCGGTGGGCAGGGAGTTTTCTGGGTCGAGTGTTTAAAACTGAGTTTGGTAATGGGGAAGGAGTAGAAATTTCAGGTGGTGATGTACGAGATGTAATATCTGAGGACAAAGAGACTCGTGGTGTGAAAAATTCCATGGACTGTTCCGAAGCTGGGCCTTGAAGCATAGGGAAAATGGTTTCATGAAACACCACATTCCTGGAAATGAAGACTTGATGACTTTCCAAATCCATAATCGTATACCCTTTATAGCCAGCCGGATATCCCAAGAACACACAAACACGAGCTCTTGGCTGAAATTTGTGCCTCTGTTTGGGAGAAGTAGACCCATAACATAGACAGCCAAAAGTTCTGATTCGATCATAAGTAGGAGCTTTACCAGTTAGAATCTCCAATGGAGTTTTGTTGGAGAGCAATGGTGAAGGAGTCCGATTGATCAGGAAGACAGCAGTGAGAATTCATTCTCCCCATAGTGACAAAGCAACTCCGGATTGAAACATAAAAGCTCTTGCCACATTCAATATGTGTTGATGTTTTCTTTCCACTACTGAGTTTTGTTCAGGTGTCTCTGGACATGCATGAAAAGATGTAATACCCTTTTGTTGAAATAATTCAGTGAACTTAAGCTCCAGTGCATTATCTGATCGTACAGCTTTAATCCGTTTGTCATACTGGTTTTCAATCTGATTGATGAATGCTGGAAACACAGTTAAAACCTCAGATTTTGTACGAAGAAGATAAACCCACGTTGCTCATGAATTATCATCAACGATGGTCAAAAAATATTTATAACCTTCAACTGTCTCAACTGAAAAAGGTCCCCATATGTCTATGTGTAACAGCTCAAATGGTGTATTACAAACATTATTCAGAGAGGAAAAGACAACTTCTTCTGTTTGGCTAAGTGACAAACATGACAGTAAGCTGCTCCTTTATTCTTGAGACGTGTAGTGCCCAAAGCTTCAGAGATAGTATCTAAACGAGCAAAAGAGGGATGACCGAGTCTCTGGTGCCAAATGCCAATATCTACAACAGAATTGATCGAAACTGATGAAGCTTGAACATCGAGCACATAGAGATTGCCAATACCCTGTCCAATCATCACAGCCCTGGTATGATCCTGAATCGCACAAGAGTCCGGATCAAAGATGACACGAGAGTTAAGGTCAGTAGTCAAACAGCTGATACTTATCAGATTCAAATGGAATTCAGGGATAAACAAAACATTCTTGAGAGTGATATGTTTGTTTATCACTACTGATCCAATACCACTGATCCTCACTGTAGATCCTGTTGGCAGATTCACTGAGTTTGCAATAGATATATCTATTGAAACAAATAGTGTCCATGATTCGTAGCTCCAGAGTCTATTACCCATGACTGATTAGACAATGTGTGATTGGAGATAGTGAGAATGCCAACAAAATGCATCGTAGATGGGGAAAAGAAAATACCAGAGTGATTTGTTGCAGGCATATAAGGAGTTGCATCAGCAACAGACTTAGGCTGAAGTTGTGAGCTAAAGAGAGCAATGAAGTTTTGTATCTGCTCCTTAGTCAAACCGCCCATTAAGTTATCTGAACCATTACCCCCGGAGTCAATTGGAGAAGATGTACCAACCTGAGCAGCAACCGAAGGTGAAGCTTTCTGAGTTTTGTCAGGTGCCTTGTTCTTCTGACCATATCCAGGAGGAAAACCATTCTTCTTATAGCAATGTTCTGCAGTGTGACCAACTTTGTTACAAAATGAGCAAATAGGACGACCTTTGTTTGGACAAGACTGGACATAACAAATCATTTCTTGTTGTGCACCAGGAGTAACATTCTCAGAGACCTGGAAAGCCGCAGAAGGCATCATATTTGAGAAACCTTTCTGGATATCATCTTGGTCTAAGATATTGTAAACCTCAGCCAAACTCGGTAAGACCTTCTTCATTATAATCTGTCTTCGAATGATGGTATAAGATTCATTGAGACCATCCAAAAACTTGACAATCTTAGCTCTCTCTGCCTTCTGTTTCAGACGAGCAGCTTTCCCACATGTACAGGGTTCATGGAGCTCTTCAGTATTTTCCAGATTGCTCCACAATGTTTTCAGAGTAGTGTAGTAATCGGAAAGAGACATGGAGCCTTGACGGAGATCCTGTATCTCTTGTGTGAGATTGAAAGTCCTTTGTAAATTTGTCATATAAAATCTACCATACAAATCTCTCCAGATATCTGTAGCATCATTCATTCTCAACACACTACGGTAGATCTGAGGAGAAACAGAGTTTAACAGCCAGAATTTCACCATACTGTTACAACGAGAACAGATGCAGAATAGAGGATCCGATTCAGCACCTATCTTATTCTTAGCATCCAAAGCAATACACATAGCAGCATTCCAATCATCGTAGTTTGTACCATCAAGTTTGAGAAAAATGATTTGCAAACCTGGATGATCCGCATTGTGCATATAGTAAGGAGATTGACTTGGATCCTGTGATTCGTAGAGTGCAGAGCTTCGCGAGTTTCCGAAAACTTGAGCTTGAGCCACCGGAGGCGTATTCGGAAGATCTGCAACATCAGATGAGGATCGAGTCGATTTGCGAGCTGAACTCGTCGAAGCTTTCGAACGAGTAGACCGACGGGGTAAATTCTTCAAAAACACCATTGTAGCTTCAGATCGAACCAAGTAAGTCAAAAATGAAGCTCAAATCGGAAAAAAACAACAGAAATTAGAGCATGGATGGCTCTGATACCATATTAGTTGATTGAGAAAATGGAGACGACGATGGAAAGTTTGTTATGGGAAAAGATATTAGAATCTGATCTGGTTACACTTATATACAATTGCTAAATAGTGAACTAATCTAAACCAAACTAATTACAATTAATTTACAATGTCGAACCAGCTAAAGGAAACCGGAACAAGAAAATAAACCAATCCACTCCGATAGCAGTCATCGATATTTTTAAACTGTTTTATCTACTGAATTTTTATACATTATGACTTTATTTTTAATTATGAAAACGTTTTTTTAATAGCTCTGTTTATTGTGAAATCAGTCATTAAAAAATAATCAGCTGATATAACTTGATCTTCCAAGTATATAGATTTAACAGTATAAAAATCCAAATTATTCATATGTTAATTGAGAAAATTCATTTATGGTTTGAATATTAGTTATTGGTGGATAAATACTCCAAAAAAAATTTGCGAAAATAATAATTATGCAAATTTGTCTATTTCGATTTTCAGCATCGGAAAGAAGAAGAAATTAATAAAAAAAAAGTAAGAAAGTAAAATATCGTAAGTGCCAAGAAAATCTTCTGATAATATGAGTTTCGATTCATTAAAAAAAAAATAACATAAATGAAAAAAAAAAAAAAAATCTATGATTGAAATCTATGAAAAACAAAATCATCGAATCAATGGCCAGGAGGAGGAAACACACAAAAGTGGAACCTTAACTCGGGATTATTCCAAAAGAGTCCAATTTCATCGCCTTCTTGAAGATTCCTTCTGATAACAAAATCGCTACTCCAATTCGTCTTCAACACATAGCTTCCAGTTGAATTCCACCTCTTAAGGCACAACCAATGAGTAGAGTGAGTGTCAGTGTCGTACACATTGACTATAAAGCCTCCACTATCATCGTCTTCGATCATTCTGATCTCGTCATTCATGAGGTATCTCCGAATATGCTCATTCACGGATTGCATTGGTATAAGAAGGCGTGTTTGGCTTTTTGCGACGTCGCTCCTTGTGAGTGTTTTCTTGATTACCCATCTTGTTCTTCTTTGTACCCGTATTGGTTTTGTGGACAGAGTCAATACGTTTCTTGCAGCCTCTTCCGTTAAGTTGTTTCTCAAGTGCGCGAGAGTAACCACTTCGTCGTTGGCAGAAGAAACCACATGTGCCAAATCTCCAGCTTGGGTGGGAAAGAGATCGAGAGTGCGTGGCGTTGTTGGAGACGAAGAACGAGAGTTCTCTGTGTACACCATTCTTCCTTTGTTATTTGCAAAGTTTAACCATGATAAATTGAGTTTTATGTTCAGGTATATATATAAGAAAAACCTCCATGCTCCTAATTCGATTCGAACATGGCGAATTATTTTCTCAGTTTACGTAGGAAAGGGACTTCTTTTTTTTTTAATAAAAAACAACAAATAATAATATATATAACAAAATAAGTTCTTTTTTCAATTTCAAGAAAAGGACACGGAAATTGAAACCGACATTTAAAATCCTCTCAATTTTTGGAATACTCATATCTGAAATATATTTGATGATTTTGATCAACAAGAAGTATTTACGTCACCAATATTATTAAAGGCTTTCATTAACACATTCTAGAATCATACGATTTTTACCAAAATATATTTTTCTTAAACAATCTATTATATAAAGAGTGGGTTGTGTCTCACAAACTTGACACATCAGCTCTTCTCCTTATGACACATCAGCTTTAAATTTATTATGAAAAAAGTATTTACACCAATATTTTTTTTTAATAATCCCAGAAATCAAAAAAGAAAGAAATGTCCATTTTTGGTCAATAACACTCATTATTATCTCATTAATCTTATTCCTAGAAGTTGGAAAGATGGAATAAAATGGTTATCATGGTGGTAGTTTTTACAAAGATAGTAAACTTCATCTAATGAAATAACTTGGTAAAACTGAGATGATTAATTTGCTGTGAATTATTTACTATCTTTATAATTGTAATCTCTTAACAAAATAGAGATGTGAGTTATTTACTAACTAAAAATTTATTTACGAACTAAAATAGAGAATCAGAAATAAACTATTTAAACCTTTATTAAAATTCTTTTCGGCTAATTATATGATTATTTTTAAACATAACCAGTTGGTATGATTGATAAACCTTTTATATATTTTAAAGTTGAAAATGTTACAACTACAATCACAGATGTAACTATGTAAGTAACCATTTTGGGAACAAATTTTAATACAATTAAAATTTACAGTTATCTTACTATATTTTCATGTATTGTATAGTCTTTCCAGAGGAATTTTATAATTGTAGGGTTTGGAATTTTAATATGTTCTTTTAATTCAAATGTTTCTTCGTCTAAAGTCATTGACTTGAGTTTGTTATATGCCAATTTTCAGTACCTAAATTTTCTACTTCTACAGAAATCATCCCAACAAATGAAAAGATGTCAAGAAAATGGAAATGCGTGACCAAAGCCTTGAAAATATTTTAAAATCATGCAAGTTTTCTTACCAGATAGCATATGGTAATGGAACTATAGAATCATAAGACGTCATTTTGAGAAAACTTGGGCTAATGATTTTTGAATCTGAACTCAACTGCATCAATAAGACTGATGCTGCGCTTATTAAAAGTGTGAAGATTGTGATTTAAAACCAGGCGGAGATGCTCAAAGTTGACATGTTTCTGATTCCCACAAGAGTATTGGTGGCTCTTTAGGCAAAAAAATCAAGGATGGAGAGTTCCATTTGTTGTTTAGAGGAGACAATGCTAATGTTATCTGTTACTTGACACTCAAGTTGGTAAGATTTCACTCTTTTATCGTTTGTAAAGACTGCCCCAAAGTAGACGACAATGCGTATCAAATTGAAGGTTGTTTCATCTTTTTTCCAGGAATAACAGAGTAGAAGGCGGTGATATCACCACACCAACGGTAGTTTCTGTGTAGTTCAATGCATAAAATCAGAAGGATACAAAGAGGTTCTTGGGTTTATACATATATGGTGAAGATTATGTGGTCAATGGAAAAATTGCTTCTAGGAAAATGAAGAGAGAAAAGTACTAGCTATTAATAAGGTACTTCGTTATCTCCATTCTCATTATTATTTTTTTGCTGCATTTTTAAAAATTTGTGTAAAGAGAAAAATATAAGAAGTAAAGGGCAAAGAGAGAGTCAAAATTTACAAATAATATACCAAAGAGATGGCTAACAAAAAGAATGAGAGAGCGAAGGATATTGCTCTGTCCTCTAGGATGTACAAGAAGTTTTCATGTATATGTTTGATTTTTTTAAGAAACAAATAATTAAAGAATTTAGGTTCTTATAATTATAATTAGAGTAAACGAAAAGTGTTTTACATTTAAAAATGTTAAGTAAAAGAGAGTAAAAAAACTATTATGAGAAGTTTACAAAAAGATTGAATAAACTGAAATACTCAAAAAATAGAAGAAAAAGTTATAACAAATCACATTACTCTAAATAGTAAAAACATTTTGTCACTCATCGAATAACCAATCCTCTGTCTTGAATTAGGTTATATTTATTAAAGTATATTTCTTACCAATCAAAACTTAACTCCTAGACACTAAATATATACGCAATTTATCTTATTATATTAAACACAACTTAAAAACTCTAAATAGTATATAAACCCGCGTGTACATCACCTAGTCTATTATATAATGAAAGAGTTTTCTCTCCATCTAAGGTGTCCACATCAGCATGGAAAAAAACTTAAATTAATGACTTAATTAATACAGATATTTTAAAATAGTAATATTTAATATTATTCTTATCTAATAATACAAGAGAAATACTAATACTAAAATTAATGACTTAATTAATTCACATACTATTTATTATTAATATTTTTTATTATAAAGAAGAAAAGTTAAAATTGAAAAAAAATAAAAATAACATAGTTAAAAAAAATGATGATGAAAATGAAAATCATAGACGATGAAAAAGAATAAGAACAATAACAAAAAGAAGAAAAAATTAAAATATAAAAGAAAATACGTAGATGAAGACAAATAAAAGAAGAAGGATACATACATGAGATAAATAAAAATAAGAGACGAAAAAAATCAAAAAAAGAAGATGAAGAAAAACTGAAAGAAACAAAAAATAAAAAGAAGTTGAACCGTTCTAGATACTTAGGGTGTTGACCAAAAAAAAGAAATAGAAGTCGAAAAAGATGAAAAAAAAAATAAAGGAGAAAAAGAAGAACACATAACTGATGAAAATAAATTTCAGAAAATATGAGAACAAAAATGTTAAAGATGAAAAAAAAAACCAAAAATAAAAATAACAAACTATGATAATATGATGATAGAAAATGAATCTGATAAAATTAAGAACAATAAGAATAAAAATATAATGAATTAACTGTGTTTAAAGATGAACTAGTTGTCTGAAACCAAGAAGAAGAGTTAACTTCAACCATACTAAATATATTCTGTCAAAAACAAAAGACGGACGAAGATAATAAATTGTATTGGAGCAACGAGCAGAAACCAAAACAACAAAAACAGGGAATAGGAGTATCGTCCTAAGCAAAACCGGTTTTAACCTAAACTCTGGATGCATTCATTGTATCAATGACATTTTTTTGTTTGAATTCAAAAAAAAAAAAACTGGTTTAAGGGTTTTTCTAGTCTTCTGCCTCTCCCTCGTTCTCAGCGATGTTGAAGTACCTCAACTCATAGAGGTTACGGTCCTTATTCGCTGCAATCACTCTGAGCCAACCACTCACATTGTGCTTCTCCAGGTATTTCTTTGTCAAGTACTTTAGATACCTGAAAGACACACACAAGAAAGTAGTGAATTAACAGAGAGTTATTTTTGATACACACCCTTTTGTCAACTCAGAGATTTAATCACTTTTATTCAGAAAAGTGAAAATGGGTATCAAGTGTCAACAAATGGTTTCTCATTTTGTGTGGAACTTCCAATTTGTATTCTGATTTCCGACCAGAAATCGAGCCACTGGTTATTTTCTTATTAGGGGTTTTCTAGGGTTTTTTTTCTGTTCATTTTACCTTTCTCGATTCATAAATCAAAGATTCAATCACATTTCTTCAGAAAAGTTTCTCACTTTCTTGTGAAACTTCCAATTTGATTCCAGTTTCCGAGCAGAGATCGAGCCATTAGTTAACTTCACAGGTCTTTTCTTCTAGGGTTTTGTTCAGTATCTATGTGTTTGCTGTATTTAGGTCTTTCTGAATGTATTGCAAGGAGTAATCCAATTTCCTATATTATGTTTGTAATGTAGAAACTTTTCTAAGTAAGTTTCTTAAATAATTATACTTAAGACGTCTAGAGTTAAATCAAAACACAGTTTTTTATTTTTGTCAAAAAAAATCCCAAACAAGAAAATTAGAAAAATTTCTCTTTTACAATTAACACATAACTGGATACAACTAACCTACCTGGATTCAGTTTACAGTTGAATTGATATGAATGAAGAACTCAATTTTTCAAATTAGACATTTTCTATTTTTATTTTTATTTTTTTTTTCTCTAATAGATTAAGACACTTTGTTTCAAGATATGTATATTTTAAATAGTGTTTCCATGTCTCAAATACTCTTAATTTTTTACCCGTTATTATCCAAATTTTTCTCTAAAAGATAGTTCTATGGGTTAATTAGCTCAATAACCAATTTTCAATAATTGATTGAGAATATAGCCATGTTTTAAAAAAAAAATTAAGTAAGTAACAAAATGGTGTACTTTCAGACGTTTTTATCCTTCTGAACACGTAACTATAGAATTTTTATATTGTTCTATTTACTGTACATACTGGTACCCCATAGATTTTGTTTCTTCTTTTATTCACAATTTATTAACTGATTCAATATTTTATAACTACAGAAAATATACAGATTTTTTTTCACACCTAATATGATTTAGATTTTTTCACACGGGTTAATTAGCTCAATAACCAATTTTAATAATTAGTTGAGAATATAACATGCTTTAGAAAAATTAAGTAAGTAACAAAATGGTGTACTTTCAAACATTTTTATCCTTCTGAACACGCAAATATAGAATTTTATTATTATTCTATTTACTGTACATACTGGTACCCCATAGATTTTGTTTCTTCTTTTATTCACATTTTATAAACTGATTCAATATTTTATAACTACAAAAATACTAAATTTGTTTTTTGTGACCAAGAAATAGTATCACTAATAATATAGAAAAAAACATTTTATTAACAATAAAATAGCCACTCTATTATAGTTTGGTGGATG